ATTCTGTAGCACTTTATTGTCTGCAGAGGACTTTCACAGAAATCACCTGATTGATTTTCCCCTGCAGAATATTCTAAACTGCCTTGTAAATGACTAGTGCCTGCTGTGTCATTCTAATGGAGAAACCATTGCACTCTGGATTACAGACTGTCATAGCCGGAAGGGGTTGATTTCAAACCACCGTTTTTTCGAAAGAGAATGGATTCGCTCAGTGTTCTGGCTGCTGGCCACCAGGTAACTCAGGGTAAAAGACTGTGAACTCTCCCTTGGTGGGGCCATTCATATGAGGAAGCTAACTTTTTCCCTCTTTAAAAGGGAATTTATAAAGTGTCAAGGAGCCCCCAGGAATGCTCCAAGCAGATGTGGAAGGCGTCCCCGGGAAGACAGTTAGCTCATCGAGTGAAATTCCATCAGGCAGACCCCTGGGCTTAGTGACTCATGCCTCTGGCATCCCAGAGTAGGATGAACTTGGTCTAGACTATGCAGTTTTTCCTCCATCTCTGCTTGGGGAATTCCAGTGCACTCCAGAGAAGGCACAAGTTGGTGAGGGTCATCTCTAATGGTCTGTGATCTGTAGCCAATTTCCAGGAGGCAGTGAGGGTGGGTGTTACTGAGCCTTGCCACACCCCTGCAGAGTAGGGATGGAAAGAGGGGGGATGTCCTCCTCACAGTCATTCAGCCAGTCATCTACACCTGGGGTCACAAGACATGGAGAAAGCTTAAACTAACAGTTTACTTTGACCACACCCCACTCTTAGCCACTTTTGAATTTATGGGCCCAAATGGGCAGGGGGAGGTTGAGGGACAGCTTCAGCTCTCACACTCTGCTGTGGAAGAGTGAGGGCGAAAAGTCTGCTCCTCCTTTCAAGGCCAAGGTCATGAGGGGCCAGCCAGAGAAGAGGCAGGGAGAGAGCCCACACTCACAGCACACACATGTGTGTGTGGCATGGGTGACAAATATGCACACAATGGTGGGCACTGCCAATAGCCGGCTGTGGGCACCCAGGTGCGTTTTCATATGTGCAGAGCACCATAAGTCTTACTAGAACGTGGCAGTCACCTCGCCCTGCTTCCTCTGCAGTGCAGCTGTCTGGCTGCTGATTCCTGGTAGGAGGTCATCGGGTCCCCGCCTGAACGGCTCCGTGATAGGAGCTCACCACTAACCAGGTAGCCCATCCACGGCAGGGCAGCTCTTAGTGTTAGAGTTTTCACACTGAGCTGAAATCTACATCCCTTTGCCTTCTCATCCATCTTAGCTCTGGGAGTTAGAATCAGTCATTAGGCATCTTTTGCACAGTAGCACTTCAAGTATTTGAGGAGAACCAACAGGTCTCCCCGTCTTCCTTCTTGACACAGTGTCTTCCTTTCCCTGTATTATATGGTTTCCAGTCCTGTCATTGCCCCACTGGCCTTTCCCCTGGAGAACCGAGTTAAGAGATGGTCTCTGAATGAACCCTTCCTTCCACAGTTCTTGTTCCAAACTGCAGAGTTTAGGGCAAGAATTCAATAGGTGCATAGGTTTACATTCACTTTTTTAGCAGCCACATCATACCTTTGGCTTATGCTGAGCTTTAACTCAAACCAAACTTTTATTTTTCCCATGAACCTTGACACAGGGCCCGCTATTCCTCCCTAATATGATACAGTGGGGCCTGTTATTTCTCCCTACTGAGGTTTCTGCAAATCTCATTCCACACTATGATATTCCAGCAGTCCCTCCTGGTTTCGTGTCTCCTGGGAATTGTATCAGTGCACAGGTTAACTCCATGCAAGTTTCTGATACACGATGGAGCCGCAGGAGGGCGGCCCTGGGAGATGCTGCAGGGCACCGTCCGCTGTGCTCACACCGGTTGGTCAGCAGCTCTCCTGGGTGTCACTGGCCTGCACACTGTGACCCCACCTAACTGCATGTCTACCACACCTACAGCTCTTCCTCCTATCCACACTTATTAGGGGACATCTCTTTAGCCAAGAGGAAGGATTCCATGACTTCAGCTGCTGACACAGGCTAATACACCAGGCAGCTCAGAGAGACACCTTAGCATCCCACAAATACCCCTGTAGGTCGTCTTCAGGCCAGCTCTGCTGGTAAACCTGAGCTTCAGCCACGGAATCTTGGAGGGAAGAATCTTCTGGAAGCTCAAAGATTCTCCCAGACACCCTGACATCTAGGCCCTTTTGTGATCCCAGAGGGAAGAAGTCACAGGGAGCTGCTCGTCGGCTGAAAGTTTGCCAGCACCTGTGGCTGGCTGAGAACGCCCCTAGTCTGGCTCATGGTAACCAGTCTGATTTCTCTGACAGCAACAGGGGGCCTTGAAAATGCAAGGCATGGAAGGCTGAGGAAGTCATCTGGCCCCTCAAACTAGATACTCCCCTGAGGCAGACCTCCCTGGGAGACTGCAAATTCATGGGGGGGTCCAGGCTCCTTGCCTTTAAATGACCTCTGGTTTTCCCAAGGCACATGCATGTTGTCCTCTCAGGTTATAAAGGCTAGAGGACCAGGTCCATGTTTTCTCTCCCTAACGATGTCCCAGACCATGATGTGTGTGCAGGAGGCAGCCAGCAAGTGCCTGGAATAAAGATAGGCACTTTGCTCCCCTGTCAGGGATACTCAGCTCTCCCAGAATAAGAAAGTACTTTCTGCCGTATCTTTTCAGTCATTTCTCTGCCTAGTCCACACAACTAAGGTTCTGCTTTTTCCATGAGCCAACTTACATGCACCTCCCTTGATTGGCATCAGAACTGCCTATAGACATATTCAGTAAAGCCATCTCTGTTTCAGTGTCATCACTCAGTCCTTGTCCCAGAAGCATTTTTTCTAGTGTCAGATCAGTCCTCTCATTTTCCCAACCTAAAATGCCCTGAAATTCTGGCCCAACTTTCTTTTATTCAAGCCTTCAATAACTTTTTTATGCCCAGAGCCTGGATCTTTGCTTGACAATCCACACGTATTATCCTGAGGTTCTTGGCTAAACAGAGGTCCACTAAAGATGCTATAATTAAGCTGATTGTCCTATTAGTCAGGGCAATGCTATAAAGGAATGACTGTTTCTGTGTGCTTCTTACCACTATTTATTTTTATATTAAATCCTGAGAGATTCTCATCTACAGGGATAGTGGTTTTGGTTTATATCCCTGGGATGGAGACAATTTGGGAGCTGGAGATAGTGCTCCCATTAGGTAGCTAACATTATTTCTACTGGATACAATGGAAAATTAGATAGGGCCCCTGCCTTCCGGGAGTCCAATCTCATTGGAAAGGTGAGATATAAGTAGGTGCAAATTATTCCATATGAGGTTATAAGAGTGGATATGGAAAGTGTGAAACTGGGTCAGGCAAGCCTACCCTCTAAATCACAGACTTTATGGTAAAGCAAAGTTGTCTGCAGTAACTGGAACACTAAAGTACATCAACTCTCTAGCAATCTCTTCTAGTTAGACCAAATAAGACAGCACAGTTTGAGGAGTGTTGGCTGGCAGTGGTCTGATCCTGCCAGCTGAGAGAAGGCTGGAAATCCTTCTGTGCGCCACGACGCACGCTCAGACACGTCCCCAGCATGCTCAGTGTCCTCTAGGAACATATGAGCAGACAGCAGGCCAGCATGAGTCATGAGAGGAAAATGTAAAGCCCACAATCTCGGTAGAACTTCCTCTGGAGCCCATATAGGGCAACTTCAAGTCACTGTCCTCCGGCGTCAGTCCTAGGCTCAGCTGGAAGCTGCAGCACAGTGAAAACTACTTGGCTTGCATTCCTGGCAGACCCCCACAGTCCGTTGGGGGTGACATCCAACATGTTGCTTGGGGAAGGAGTCCTGGCTGCCTAATCCTCCTGCACTAAAGCCCCACATACCCTATAGAGACAAGTAGTGCATATATATTGTTGATTTTGTTGTTTGAGTGGAGAATTTGTTGAAAAGCTAAATCTGAAATTTTGCCATCAACTTAGAAGAAGGGTCACAAGCCCTTTGTCACTCCTGAATGCCGACTTGGCCCAGGCTGGCAAAGTCAGAATCATCGGAGAGAGCTTTAAAAAGTAGTCTGGTCCATCGTGGGAGATTCTGACTTAGTAGGCCTGGGACGAGGCCCGGGCACTTGAGTTTTTAAAGAGATTCTGATTCCTAGGTAGATTTGGGAACAACTTCCCTTTGGGAGCCAGCCCCTGAGGTGGCCTCCACTGATCTCCGCCTTCTGAATCCATGCCCTGGGACAACCTCCTCCCACAGTGCATATGGTTGGTCCATGTGACCAACAGCAGGAATGACGGGTGACTCACTTCCATGATAGGGTTATGAAGACGATGGCTTCCATGCTTCGCTCCCTCCGGAGAAAGACAACCGCGATGTCTTAAAGACACTTAGGCAGCCTACAGAGGGTAGTGTGGGGAGGTCAGAGGGCTCCAGCTGACAGCCAGAAAGAAACAAAAGCCTGCCAACAAACACATGAGTCAACCTGGGAGAGGATCCCTCAGCCCCAGAGTGGCTGCCCCCTCATGAGAGGCTCAGATAACCAACCGGCTGAGCCCCTCCTGACCCCCAGAGACCATGTGGGATAACACATATGTGTTGCTTGAAGCTGTAAAATCTGGGGGTCTTTTGTTACACAGCAATTGAAAACGAATGCATTTCCCCAGCCTGAGGGGTGCTCTCCGAATATAGCCCAGAAGGCCTTTCATGCCCCCCTTCCTAGCTTCAGTTCACACCACTCCCAGGTTCACATTTCAGTCTTGGACAGCACTACTGAGCCCAGGTCACACCTTCACGCCTCTGTGCCTTTACTCAAGCTGCTCTGTGGGTCTGGAGTGCCCTTGCCCTCCCCCATCCCCCCACGATGGTATCCTCTTCTCCAGAAATCCTTTCCTCCACTGCTCCCACCCAAAATCAGGTTGGCCTGGGACCCCTCCTTAGTGCTTACACACTTCTTGGAGTCAGTAGGCCAGGAGTGAGTTTCATGGAAGAAGGAAAACACTTACATGAAGGAAACATCAAGAACACACGACTTGCCTCTATGTGGTTGACCAACGAATTGTCAAATTTGAACCCAGGAATCCTTTTGTCACTGCACACCACACCCACGTCTTCTGAGTGCTTGCAGTCGGTGACACCCCAGCCGTTGGAGGAGCAGGCTGCAAGGGTCGCCTCTTTGCCAGTGCAGTGGACATTGTCCAACCAGATGGGCCCTGAAGGAGGCAAAGAGAGAAACCAAGTGCTATGTTAAAATAGGTTTGTGTGTTTGGGGGCGCCGATGTTAGACATAGGAAGAGAATTTCGCTCTAATTTTGGCAGCTGTGTGTAGTCATCAATTGATTTTTCCTAAGTCAAAGTATTGTGTATCATTCATATAGTTACGATTCTCTTGCCAGAGTAGGCAGTTGATGTCATCTAGGGACATGGCAGACTGAACACAATTTGAACAGAAGTCAGATTTGAGCCTGGATGTCACACTGTACGGGGGAAAGAGCCAACTTTGGATACTAAGCTGGGCTTGAATTCTGGTTCAGCCACTTAGCTGTATGACCTTGGTCAAAGCCTCTTTATCTCCTCAGAAAAGCTGGGGTACTCATGACACGAGCTGTGTGCAGATTGCAGATGATACACGGCCCTTGTCTGGTTTAGTGTTGGCCCATAGAGACTCAAAAATGGCAACGACAATGGCAGAGATGATTTTAGTTATACTGACTGTGGCACAAGCCAGACTTGCCTTGCATCCTCAGCAGACGCTGAACTCTGACCCCTCAGGAAGCACCTAAGCTACCCTGCAACTCAGGGTTTGGTATTTTTAAGGCATTTTCACGTCCATTACTTCCCTGACTTCCCCATACCACAGGGAAGAGGACCAGGAAGCATCACTGCTTCCACTTCACAGATGCAGAGCTCTGGCGCAGACAGGACACCTCATTCTGCAGGGCCACCCCACAGAGCCGCCTTCTCACGTTTCAGAAGTCAGGTGAAGGCAGAGCTTGGTTGCAGCTAGGCAGTCTGCCTGGAGGCCCTGTGGAATTCTGCTCACCTCCTGTGCCTTTCCCCGATTTGCACTAAGTTGAGCATTCAGTGTGCCAAGTGCCAGAAGCTTCATTAAAATTAGATACCACCTCACACCTGTTAGGGTGGCCACTATCCAAAAAGCAGAAAGTAACAAGTGTTGGTGACAATGTGGAGACACGGGAACGCTTGTACACTGCTGGTGGGGATATGAAATGAAGCAGCTGCTATGGAAACCAGTATGGCAGTTCTTGAAGAAGTTAACAAGAGATCTACCATACAATCCAGCAATTCCCACTTCTGGGCATACAGCCAAAAGAAATTAAGCCAGGGTGTCAAAGAGATATTTGCACCCCTAAGTGCATTACAATGCTATTCACAATAGCCAAAAAGTAGAAGCAACCCAAGGGCTCCCTGACAAATTGTGGTCTATACATACACTGGAATATTATTCAGCCTTAAAAAGGAAGGAAATTCAGACACATGCTGCAACATGGATGAACCTTGAGTTCATTATGCTCAGCGAAATAAGTCACAAAAAGACAAAAACTGTGATTCCTCTTACATGAGGTTCTTAGAGTAATCAAATTCAGAGACAGAGACAGAGAGTAGAATGGGGTTACCAGGGGCTGCAGGAGGGGGAATGGGAGTGGTTGTTTACTGGGAACCGAGTTTCAGTCTGAGAATATGAACAAGGGTCTGGAGGTGGGCTGCACCACAGTGTGAATGTACACTACTACCAAACTGTACGTGGAAAAATGGTTAAGACGGCATATTTTATGTTACGGGTATTTTACCACAATTAAAGATGGTTTAAACAGTTAAACTGCTGGAGGGCTTTCAAATGGTGATCTCTATAAACACCACTACAAAATCAAACCTCTCATTTTTCTCCTGGTTCCATGAAGGGCTCTCTAGCATAGTGGAATCAGATAACCTGGGTTCAGATTCTCTCTGCCTTGGGCTCGGGCATGAAGTGACTTGGCCGGCTAGTGAGCCCAGGCTGTTTCCCACTTCTGAAGCGAGAGCACTGACACCCAGCAAACAGGTCACCGTGGAGACTCAATAAGATGACGCAACTGCTTAGTGCACGTTCCACCTCCTGCTCCCTCCACCGTCCACTAAGTCAGAGAAGCAATGTTGTTTCCATGGAGCAAGGAGGAAGCAGATAAAAACATTCCCATTGTAGAGACGTGAAAATCAAGGAGAATCTGGAACTCTCCAAGGTCGGGGAGGATGTGGGGCCGGTCTCCTGATTCCGAGGCCCTGGTGAACATGCCCACTGTGAAGGCAGTCAGGGCTCAAATGAGAGCAACTGCCTCAGACGTATCGTGGGGAACAAAGGGCTTATTGAAAACATCTGGACTGAGGTTTGCCAACTGATTTCTCAATTTGGCTATGTCTCCAAGCCGTCAAGCTCCACTGAAACATATGCTCCCTAATCGATGCTGTTTCAACAACAAACCAGTGTTTGGCTCGCGAAGTACTAGCAACGGAAAAGACCCTCTGCCCCTGAAGTGGGGCCTCTTTTTTAGAACGTTTTACAGCAAAGTTGCCAAAGAGGTAGAGATGAAAGGAAGCAGAACCCTTATTCCTTCTGCAATGAGAGAAAAGGCCCTCACAGAGGGATGGGAAGCAGGACGGCACTGGCTAAAGGAACCGTGAAGAGCCGGAAAACAGATCCTACAGGGCCACTTTACGTTTTGATAAGGAACATGTGAAATTAGCACCTGGCGCACAAATGGGAGCTAGTGTGCTCAAGAGCTGCTTTCTGAAGTGGCTTCCAGTCACCCACCCCGGTAGCCCTGCCCTCTACAAAGTGCCATGGGTTATTTTTTCTTACATGGTGGAAACATAAGTGTCTATTCCTCCCAAAATAGCATCACCATGCATGGTGTACTTATTTGGCCTGATTTCATGACAATTTTTTTTTCTATATGTTCAATGCCTACCAACTAGACTGTCCTGATCCCAAAGCACCCAGCTTCTGGTTCTGATTTTGGAATGTAGGGTGGTTCTGGGCAGAAGTTCAACAAATGCCTTCTCAGAGCTGTTAGGAAAGTGGCCCGTGGGACACAGATGGGACTCAAATTTTGAACACAAAAAGCCAGTCATTCAGAAGCACAACTTCATTTTACTCTTTCTACTCACTTACTCTATGAAATTCTCCTGCTGAAAGGAGGAGAATTTAAATAAATTACCAGACCATTTGGAAGTTAAAGATCATAAATGAAATTCTGTTTGAATGCCGGAACATTCCTCTGGGCTGCTGAGGCAATGGAAATTGTTCAAGTTAGGATCTTCCTTAGATTCAGGTTGCTGTGAGCCCCATCCAGAGAGTAAGGAACAGGGCAGCTGCCCTTCTAGAACCTTCTAAAGGGGCCCATGGTTTTCTTGAACTCAGAGATCCTTTGGGAGAGGAGGTCTGTTGACAGGCCAGGCTGGAAAACCTGGGAGGTGTGTGGGGTGCTCTCCCAGGCTTCATCACTACAGCTCAAGCCACAGAGGAGCAGGTGTCTGCGTGCGCTCCAGGAGGGGCATCCTCAGGGCATTCACAGAGCACAGGTGCGGGTTAGACCCTGCTGCAGCACATGCCAACGCACTGGTCACTTCCTCTGGTCACTATGCCAAGTTCTGCTTGCCAACTGCTTTTAATATTCTCCCAAATCAAAACGAGTCAGGCAGCGAATATTTTCTGAGTGACCACCATGTATCCAGTGCTACAAATCATAAACCCATGCTGATGAAATTTATTTGTGATCATATATATTTAAAAAGCCTCTCCTGATGTAAACCAAGTGCCAGTTTATATAGACAGCATAATCCTTAAAGTCCTGGAGACATGACAGTTTAAAATTGTTTTAGCATCTGTTTCTCCCTCTCTTTCTTGGACACTTTTCCCTTCCTAAGTCTTGACAGTTTTAACATCTACACAGATGCCCCTCCCTGTCCTTCTGACCTCTTGGTCACTATAGCCCCTCTCTCCAATGACCTTCCTCCACCCTGGGCCAGCTGCTCTCCCATGGCCACAGCTTAGATCTTGCCATCACCAATGATCACACCTCCTCCCCATCTCCATTTCAACTCCTCTGCTGTGCACCCCCATGCCCTCCCCATTTTCCTAGCACACTGCTTCACAGACTGTAATCGCAACCTGTAACCCAGGGACCCCAGCAGCTTCCCACAGACCTTTCTACTTAGCCAGCCTGGGCTCCATGGCCCACTGTCTTCATTGCTTCTTCACACACTCCCTCTACCCCCTTGAAGTCCCCTCCACCCGGCCCCCAACCGCATTCATCATCCTTGGATGACAAAGTCTGAGCCAGTAACCCACCCCTGCAGCCACCCTGTGCCCGCTCCTGGGCAGGTAAACATGGGATGGTGAAAAACCGCACTCACATTATCTGTTAACAGGTAAACTTTAGGTTTGGGTAGAAATAAAAGAAGGTTGTCCCTGGAAAAACCCCACAGTCACTGGAAAGTATTTATTATAAAATAATTAGGCTTTGAGAGCCTGGAATAGAAAATACAGATCTGATGTAAGCCCTGGATCATTCAGCTAGCAGAATAATTGCAGAAGTGGGAAAATGAAGTGTCCAGAGTCTGTGTAAAAAGACAAGAGGTGGGCTTTAGTGCAGACGTTTGCTGACGCATCTTCGCTGCTCTTACTCTCCTCACTGCTAAGGAACCCATCTCAGCCTGGGAGACCATTTACTCCAGGGGCAGGCTCTTGATCCGGTTACCCTAACAGGGCATACTCAACTGCACGGAGGTGAGACATGTATGAGATGGGATTTCCTTTGTCTAACAATTTCTAGAATAATAGAAAGCAAGGGTTGGAAGAGACCCCAACAATGATCTATTTCAATGGCTCTGAAACCTGGTTATGTATATAATTACCTGGGAGGCTTCCAAAGCTACAGAGTCCTAACTCCATCTCAGACTTTAACTGAGAATATCATGATTTAAGCCCCCACAGGGGATCTTATCCGTCAGTGTGGCACTAATCCAACAGTCCAGGATGAGAGTGTGGGCACCTCGGCTTCAGTCCAGCAGCCAGACGCATGCAGAGGCCCTCTTAGCACCCGGATTTTTTTTTTTAATTCTGCAGCTTTTGCTAACTCAACTTGGTTTAGCCACTTTCCCACTTCTCTGCTTTTCTACTTATCTTCTTCACCCTTATCTACTTTTCTATTGAAGACTACAGACTATGAGAGTTTCAGAAGTTCTTGGGGAGCTGGGGAAACTGAGGCCAGAAAGGGTGTGTTCCAATGGAGCATACGGTCAGTTAGGTCTGGTTAGCAGAGCACCAGGACGAGCTCTAGCTTCTGGGCTCCAACACCTGCCTCCCTCAAAGCTCCTACCAAAAAAAAAAAAAACCAAAAAAACTTTTTAATATATTGACTTGGACTTAACAGAGGAGGAAAGAATAGGCCGACCAGAGCAACTGTGCTCACAGGATGGCCAAGCCCAAAGCAGCGTATTAGTTTAGTTTAGAAGCGTGTACCCACATGGGGCAGGACGTGGTGGGAGTCAGGGAGCCCTAGCCTATGGGCAGCCTTCGTGAGAAAGAGCAAAAGGCACTTACAGGGGGCGACTGGGAGAACAGCGCCCCCTGTCCTGGTTGATGTGGCCCCCAGGCAGGGCACGTGGCTGGGAAAGGTAAGTATAGACTGACTTCAGCCCCTAACTAGGGTCACTAACCCGTGGGGTTTGCCCAGGATGAGGCATTTCCCAGGATGCCAGACTTAGTGCTAAAAGCGGGAAAGTCCCAGGCAGAGCAGGATGGGTGGTCACTGCACCCCTCCCAGAACCCCACTGCTCCCTCCTTCCAGCGCAGGCACAGGAGGCTGCCCACGGGAAGTATTACCAGGAATTCATACTTGACTGTAGGGGCAGCGTCCTTTACCGCACTTAGCCCGTTCCCGGGGCTGCGAGGGACACCACACTCGGTTCCAAAGCACAGAGCCTTTTACCTTCCCCTTTGCCGTAGGAGGAGCTGGCGGTCCAGGACTTGGCCTCCACGTAGCCCAGCTCCCGGCAGACGACGTGCGCGGCGTGGATGGAGAAGTCGTCGTCGCACACGGTCCCCCACTCGCCCTTGTAGTACACCTCCACTCGCCCCTCGCTGTGCTTCCTCTTCGGCCCCGCCAGGCGCAGCTGGATCTTGGCGACGTCGGAGGGCGCCCGAGGCCGGCTGTAGTCGGGGGCAGGCTGCTGGAAGTACTCGGGATAGTGGGGCCAGCTCTCGTACTGCGCCAGGATCACCGAGGGAAGAAGGGCGAGCACAGCCAGACGGCCGCACAGGCGGGCGCCTTCCCGCCTCGCCATCCCCGGACTCTGGCTGGAGGGGCTGATGGGGCCGGTGACAGGCGACACGCAGGCGTTCCCTGGAAGAGGGGAGAGATGCAGGTAACAGCTGCAGAGCGGCAGGGGCTTCACTTGCCTTTGTTGGGTGTTAGAGCTCTTCCCATCCTAGACTCCCATCTCCTCTCCCACCCCCCTCCCTGCTTGCACTTCAGCCAGACAGGTTTACGACTTCCTACCTCTCTAGCCCACCCATCTTTCCCTATCTCTGAAATGCTTCTTTTCAGTAGGGTTCCTGGCAGGAAGCAGCACACTCAAACTTAATTTGAGCAGAGTTTTTTGAACGACTATCTCTGGAGAGGTGAGCAGAGTTCACAGAACGAATGCAGGCCTGCCTAAGACCCAGGGCTGGGAGGAGAGCCGTCTCCAAGCCATGCCAGGCTTGAGGGCCAGGCAGGGAGCGGGAGCGGTTCCTGGAACCCAGGAGAGCCGCAGCCGCAGAGCCGTGGCTTCAGTGAAGGGTCTTGGAGCCCAACCACAGCAACAGGCGCAAGGGATAAGTACCTGGCCCCACCCTTCTCAGTCTTCCAACTGCTTTCTAGTGCCTCCAGTTGGGCAAACCCAACTGAAACCAAGCCTGTTGGTGGAGTCTGTATGGGTTGGCATCCGGGCTGCAGGATGGCGCAGAGGGAGGGCAACAGGGGGAGAGGGCAGGCCGAGGGCACCTGCGCACTGCTCCTCTTCCCCACCTCTGTACATCTCCCCCTGGGGCCCAGCTCACATCCCACCTCCTTTGCAAATCATCCTCACTGAAGCTGCCTGCAGGGTTCTCTGCTCCCAGGCCTCCTTGGGAGGCTCATTATCTAGATAGTCTTCTCACCTTTCCCAGAAGCTTCCACTCCCCAAGGAGGTTACAGATGTCCTAGGGCAGGATTTGTATCTCACTCTTTGGCACCTCCAGAGTAAACGCTGTAGGCTCCTGGGCATGGTTACAGAATGAGAAGCCGAGTTGGTTCCAGGGACTGAGCCCCTGGTGAAAGGTGGGACTCGAGTGCTGCACTGAGAGGTTGGGCACTCCCCTGGAAGATGTCTTTCCTCCCTCGACCTGGATGGACATGGCCTCTTCCAGGTGCTGAGAATAACACGAGGAGGCTTGGTGGCTCTATCTCTACTTGCCCACCAGCTGCTCTCCTCTCTGCCCACACATCCTGTGGCTCTGCTTTCAGGCTCTCAGCCTTCAGACCCGCCAGCATGCTGTCCACCCACACCCCCGATCTCATTATGTCCTGTCCTCTGCATGACTGAGGAGGTCAGTGGCAAAGCCCCCTGAACAGCTTTTTCGCAGGCCTGCCCTCAGCTGAGCTGTGGGTTTTGCAAACAGCAGCCTCAGAGAGCCGTCCTGAGGCGCATCTGTCACACTTGGAGAAACCAAGGATGCCCTGATAACAATTCCATCCCATCTCATAGTTTCTGTCCCTGAGAGGTACAGGGGGCAGGGACCAGCCTGCTCTTTGCACAGAGAGGAGGCATGAAGCTCTCTGTGGTAAACAGGAGAATGGTTGTGTGGCCTGTCACCAGGCAAGGGTGGTCTGGACAGCAGAATTGGTGAGCACAGACTGAAGCCAGATAGTCTGGGTTTGAGTCCTCATTCTGATACTAGCTGGGTGACACTGGGCAAACTACTTAGCTTCTCTGTGCTTCCTACCTATAAAATAGGGATAATGATTACATCTAGCTCACAGAATTGTTATGAAGATTGAATGAATGGCACATAACAGATACTACATTTGCTAAATAAAAACGTTAAATTTTCAAGAATGTTGTCATTATACCCAGGAGGAGCCTACCTCCAAAAATTCTAGATGAGATCATATAAGAAGAGATAAATACTTAGCTCATGTGCCTTGGTGCTCCCATAATTCAGAGAGGAAGGCACTACGGGTGCGTTTCATGGAAGAAGAAGTAGACGGAATGTGAGGCCCTGAAAACAAGACCAGGACCTGATGGGGGAACCTAATGGTAGCTAATGGGAGGCACAGTACATTCTGTTTTAACCAGTTACAGAGGGGGAGGTTAATCGTATCCCTCAGCTCACAGTGCATCACCATCGAGGAAGGACCAGATACCTGCCCAGAGCTGCCCAGGATAGGTAGTCTTATCGGGAGAGAGGCAGTTCCCTATTGGGATGCCCAGGCAGTGCCAGTCCCCCGTGATGCCTGCCAGGGCAGAGGGGACAGTGCTCAGGGGACAGCCAGGGCTGAGGACTTTTGAACGCCCTCCAGTTTCCCTAGAGATCCAACCATCTTCATCCTGTAACTCACAAACGGGGGGAGAGAGCTGTGGGGGTTCCTGCAATGGTGCCCTTCAGACCACAGTGCGACACACTAGTGACACGGCTCTGAAGGCCCCAGCCCTCCCAGGCCCTGGTCACGCTTCATTCCCGTCACAGCACGTCCGCATCCATGAGCTCATCTGTTCCTCACTGGAACCTGGTGTGGGTGGAGGAGGCAGGGAATGGGATTCTTATTCTGTCAGGGAGAACACCAAGAGCCAGAGAGGATGAAGGACTTCACAGGCACTGCAGTTAGTGCAGGCAGGGCCAGAACACGTCACTCTTAAGCCAGCAAAACGTCAGCATGTATAAATGATGTCTGAACTCCACCTGTACAGAGAAGCCTTCCCACCCATACATTCCTAGCTGCTGTCCCTGCCCTCACTCCGTCCCCTCACAGGTCACCCATCTGATTATCTATACCTGGGTTAAGTTTTCCATCTCAATCAGTGTGCCTCCATCCCCACCCTATCTCCTTCCCTCCAAAGAACGTTATGTCACAGTCTTCTCCATTCTTCAAGAAAAGCTTCCCAGATGCCCCTCATCAGAATGAAGGTTTTCTCTGATTCCCTTGAAAATAGCACTTTGTGTGCACTTTACACCATTATCATGTCAGACTCCAGACAGAAGCCAGCTCTTGTCATTTCCACAGAGTACCACGTGTTTCTGACTGTGGCCAAATACCTTGTACTAGATAAACGTTCCTGCCAAGAACAACTAGAAAAGGTAGATAAAATACTAGAAACATGTCTTTGAAGATACCAGAGAGCTGTGGAGGCAGCAATGGCTCAGGAGCCAAGACTCCTGAGAGATGGGCACTGCGGGATGCGAGCCTGGCAGCTGTGTCTGCTTTTCCCCTTAAGGCACAGGCTGATTCCAAGGCCATGGCCAACAGAAGCTAAGCAAAGCTCTAGGCAGCCTCTCAGGACTGAGCAGACAAAAACTGGAGTTCAGGACCTGCCGAGGAGGAAGGGCCCTGTCAAAGACCCTGTCAAGTTCACTATGGATTTAATGAGACTGAAAAATGACAATGTAAAGTTCTTGGGAAAAAGGGTTTATACCCAACTGTATTCCCACAGTGGCAGGTCAATCACTAGAATCCCATCCTCTCAGAGCCAGTGTGCATGCAGCAGGCTGGTCTCTACCTCTGGGCCTCTCCACCCCTGCAGCCGTCTCAGTCTCTGTCCTGGGCCCTGCCACCACTCCAGCCTCTGCTCTCCTGCAGCCATGCAGCCCCACAGCCTTGCAGCCGTCCAAAGCACTGGATGGAGCTCTTTATATAGAGTCAGTAACAATGTACTGCCCACACATGTGTAGTGTGGGCACTACAGGCCTCCCTCCCCCAGGGCCAGGTGAGAATCCTTCACTTTCTCCACAGACCCCTACCAAGGCCTTCAGGTGGGAGTCTCTGAAGGGTTAACTTCTAGAAGTCAGGGCACAGAGTTAAGTTCTACATAATTGGAATTCCAACTATGTTACAAAGGTCTAACTCCACATAATTGGAATTCCAAAGGAGAGAGAAAGGATGTGTGGAAGAAATATTTGAAGAGATAATAGCCAAGAAACAGATGAAACTGATGAAAAATATCAAGCCCAAGCAGTATAGTTTACAAAGAAAACCACACCTGGGCACATAAAATCCAACCTGAAAAAATCTGAGACAAAGAGAAATATTAACAGTAGCCAGAGTATCAAAGGAGTATTACCTTCAAGGAAGCAACAATAAAACAGCCGGACAAGCTAACAAAGAAAATAATCACATGACATTTTCCAAGAGATGAAAAAAATAAGTCAACCTAGACTTCTGTACCCACTGGAGAGAATGAAGGTGAAATGAGAGCATTTCAGACAAACAAGAGAGAGAATTTGTCATCAGAAGAGCCACCAAACAGAAATACTAAAGGAAGCTCTTCAGGCCAAAGGAAAAATAATCCTAAATGTTAGTATGGAGAAGCAGGAAGGAATGATTGTTAAGGAAGGAGAAGCTATGTGATTAAATCTATATGAAGAACAACTGTGTAAAACAGTTATTTCTTGTGGGGTTTCAAATAAAATACATAACAACAATAGCACAAAATGCAGAGGGGTATTATAGGGAAAGGGTTGCAAGTTTTTTGCATTATCTGCAGAGTAGTGTAAGTATTACTTTCTATTAGACTGTAGCAAACCTTAACACTCTTAGCCAGATGCATGTTGTAATCTTTACAGTAATCACCATAAGAATAGTAAAAAAAAAAAAAAAAAAAGAACAAGCAGTGTACTAAAGGGAGGAAATGAGGGAATTAATTTAAAAAAATATCTCATTACTGCAGAAGTAAAGTAATGAAGCAGAGAAATACAACAGTTGTCACAAATGGAAGTAGTAAAATACAACAGTATTTACACTGGACGAAATAAAGTCGCCAGTGAAAGACAAAGATTGTTAGAATGGATTTAACCAAACAATACTACTTCCTGTTTCTTATACAGACACACATATTTTGAGTAAAGGGATGGAAAAGATATACCGTGCACAAATTAACCAAAAAAAGGAAAAGCTGGTACAAGTCAGATAAAGTCAACTTCCAGACAAGAAGCATTACTAGAGACAAAAAGAAAATTTTGTTAAGATGAAAGAGTCAAATCCACTGATACCACTTCTCAATTTGCATAATAGGCCCAATCTGTATAAAGTGACAGAACTAACAGGAAAAAGTTGGCAAATCTGCAATTATAGTGGGAAGTTTTATGCCCCTTTTGTCAGAAGAAGTGGACAAAAAAAATCGTTGTACTGAATATATGAATGACATGATTAACAAGTGTGACCTAATTGAGAAGTTGCTATCAACTGTACTCCACTACAGAAGACAGATGGGCTTAAAGTCTACAAGCAGGATTGACCCAGACAAACCCTGAGTTGGGTCATAAAGCAAGTCACACCACATTCAAAGAAATGTTGCCTGACTATGGTAGAATTAAGCTATAAACCAATAACAAAAAGAAGAACTAGAATATCCCCCAATATTTGAAAATGATGTAAAAGAAAAAAATTCATTGCTATTAACTTGCACATAGGTCACAGTGACAACTCGATTTGTTCATTCAACAAACATTCCTTAAGATCCTGGTAAATGGGAGGCTTCCTGACAGCAAAGCAATGTTTTCTTTCTGTGGTGCACTGACATGGCACTGATGGTGTCGCTACATTGCTGTTTGCCCACAGGAAGTCAGTGAATGGTCATGGCTTGAACCACTTGAGCCTGGATGGCCTGACTTTGAATTCAGGAAGGTCTTTTGTTCTTCTATACTGCTTCTTTCTATATCCTCATTTTACAGAAATTTAAGACAGAAAGTCCATGACTTGCCAAACGTCACAAAGAATGACAGTGCTAGAACCAGTATGAAGCTAACATAATAGAGTGTCTCTTAAATGCAGGCACTGTGTATCAATCATGACTTTTTATTTTCGGTATTTCTGCTCTTTTGACATCTGGGATGTTGCTGTCCCTGGAGAGAGGCTACCTTTCCCTGGGCTAATAATTCTTAGAGATGATAAAAGATTCACCTACTTTTCATATGCAAGCCAACCAATACAGAGCCAGACCCTCCCAACCACCTCCTTTATCAAGATCTCACACTCTGGGCCAGTTCCCTCTGCCCTCATGACAGCAGGGCCAGGTACCAGACTATTAGAGTCAGCCTCTGTGCCCCAGGGTGAGCTGGAATTATGCAACCAACCAATCCAAACCTACTTAGCCTTCTTACTCCGCTTCTCCTATTCCCTCCTGTGAAGGTGACAATAAAGGCTCCGCCCCCGGCTTCCCATGCCCCCTCAGCCCCTGACCAACTCTGGTGTTTCCCCATATGGCTCTGCATGGCATACGATGCCTCATTTCTAGGGATCTGGGGGCTTAAACTTCTTTGTTCATGACAGTCATTTCCACGTCTACATTTTACCGCACCTGCTCCAAACAAAATCCAGGTACATTTTAAAACACATCATTCTCAACATTCTATCACGGTAATTCACTTAATGAGGTAAACACATTATCCTCGGGAGGAAAATGAGGCACAGAGCAGTTTGACAAGTTGACTGAGGTTGCACCAGTGTTGAGCAGCAACCCAGGATCTGCTCGAGGGCAGCAGGCTGACCTGGGCTGTGTCCTTCCCGCTATGCTCTATGGCCCATAGCTGCTTATCTCAGTCTAGTGCTTGCCTACCACCCCCAAGCTCTCCTCACACGAGGGCTACAAAGGCCTCCAGTCATCTGTTCATCTCAGAAATGGAAAAAATACGTGGTGCTGCAATTTTTTAAAAGAAATCTTTACCTCTGGGTTTGCATATCTATAAACCGCTCCACCGGTCTTAGATTCTCCAATCTGTGAGACTGGCCAGAGTTCAACTCCTAAATCTGTTCTAGAAAAATGCTCCTGGATTTTTTGCTTCTTTTGTGGGCCCTTCTCCTATTCTCTGCTCTGGGGGATTGCAAAATATTAGACCCAGATGCTACTCTCTTTTAAAAATAGCTTTTCTGGGCTTTTTTCCCCCTTATTGCAAAAGTGGTAAAAATCTGGAGAAAGCATACAAATAAAATAAAACAATTTGCAGTACCACCATTGGGGGTATATTACCAACATTGTGTGGTGTATATTCCTTCCAGCCTTTTTTTCTGTACATACACATTTCCTTTTAAAAGCTGAAATCATTTTCTACATAGTTTTGCAAACTTTCTCACACTTAATAGTACTTTGCAAACATTACGCCTCATTGAGTATTATTATAGTAAAAGATTTTTATCTTACAGTATTCAATCCTATAGATACACTGTAAGATTGAATAATCTTATCACTAAATTTTTTACTGTTACAAACATTGTTGAATTGAATATCCTTGTAACTGAAACTTTCCAGTCTTGGGATAAATTCCTAAAAGTAAAATTGGTGGGTCAAAGGGCTGGTAAAAAATCAACACTCTTGCAGAACTGTATTAACTGCCCTCCAGAAAGACTGTCAGTTTACACATCAGCCACTATATGTCTGTTTCCCCACAACCTCAAAAATTCTGGTTATGACCACGTTTTCCAACCTTTCTCCATCTGGTAAGCAAAAAAGTGTAGCTTTTTGTTTTAACTAGCACTTCTGCTATAGTGAGGTTAACCTTTTCTCCCCCACTTGTATTTCTTTTTTGGGGGATGCGGAGTTATCTCTTTATTTTACTTTTTTATCACTTTTTCTAGTGAATGTTCCTCTTTCCCTTACTGCTTTCTAAGATGCATTTTTCTCATTGGCAGCCATCCACCCCCCAGGAAGGAAAACCGCCGGTAGAAGCCCACGTCCAAAGCGGAGCTTGGGTGCACGGAGAGCAAACGCCCGGCGTCTCCCGTCCTCGCCGCCAGCCGCCCTGTTCCCGCCTCTGCCTCCGCCGTCAGACCAGAGGCCCTGCCCGGAGCTGGGGCTCAGCCCCGCCGCGGCGGGTAGGGCGGGCGGCGCGCCGGGAATCCATCCAGGGTGGCGCCTGGTTACGGCGACCGCCCGCGCCTGGGCCGCTGCGCCGCGACGACCGAGCACCCCCGGGGGCTGAGCGGAGCAGAGGCGGCCGGAAGGTTACGGGGCAGCCTCACGGCCGGGGACGCGCGCTGCGAGCGGGCGCCGGAGCCCCGCGCGAGCCGCGCCCCGCGAACTCACGCGAGATCTTTCCGGCCAACCAGGGGCCCCGGCCCGGACGCCCTCGGGGTGATGCGGAGGCCGCGCCGCCTGCGGGAGACTGGACGCGCGAGCCCGCGGGGTTCCGGGTGGTCAGGCACCCGGGCGGGGAGCGCGCCCTGACTCGGCGGCTTCGGCCTCCCGGCCCCGCGGCAGCCGCGCTGGCCCCGCGCCCCGGCCGGCTGCCCGCCGCTGACCCCGCGGGCCGGGCTGGGCCGCGCTCCTTGGGGACGAACGTCCCCCCGCTGCTCACATTTCTCACGTGCAGCGGCTGCTGTTTGATGAACCGGGACTCGCCCGAGCCGCCAGGCCCAGTGCCTGGCTCGTAGCGAGCGCTTATTAACATTGGGTTGGACAGGGCAGGACAGTTCAGGGTAGACCCCAACTAATTCCTGGGCGAAGGAGACCCTGCAAACCGCAGGCCCTGCTGATGGGGGACAACAGTCACAGTTTTATTTCTGAACAGCAGAGACCTCACAAAGGCGCTGGCAAAAAGCACCAGGCAGCCCGCTGGGGCTCTATCCTAGAAAAATCATTTCCCCTTAAGATTTTTTTCTCTGTAAAATGGACTCGTGGATTCCGACCTATGATCAACGTATTCAGCTAATGTAAACAATGGCAAAGCATCCTCATTTTTCCCTGAGAGGTGGGAGCCCCACCGTGGCCCAGGCCTGTCTCCCCAATCGCAGCCTTACCATATAAGGCAATTACTGGGATCTGCTTTAATTGCAGTTTAGCTGTGAATCTCCACTTGTGAGAATTCAGAGAAGGGGTGGTAGGCTGTAGCCAAGCTTCAAACAAGAACAACTCCCTCTGCCTTTTGCCATTACTATATAGTGTTGTTTTACACACATGTTCCTTCCAGAAAGGAACATGACAGCAGGTGAGAAATGTCGTTTTTCATTGAACAATTGCAGGGTTTTTCACGAATTTGGTAGCCTCTACAATGAAAGCGCCCTCTCTGCATTGATCCTTCCAGGGAATGTGATAAATAAGGGCTGGATGCAAAAAACCATGTCTTCCTTTTCTGCATGAACAGAGGGACAGTCTATATGACTTCCTAGTTGTATGACTCATTTCCTTTCAGTTCATAGTCTTTACAGATGTGCTGTGTAAATGAAAAGTAATACTGTTACACTTAATGAGTATTTAACTGAGCTATTATATAACCACATGGAGCTAGGTGCTCTGGGAGAGACGTGACATGGGAGGCCCTCACATTGTGGGAGTGGGCCTATCTCCCCATCTAGAATGTAAATTCGGCCCTTACTCATCTCCATTGTCTCCTGCATTAGTCCTATCTCCCTGGAATGGGAGTATTACAAAAACAGAATATGCTCAAGCATTAAGTCAGTGGGTCCAGACTACGGGAGTATTAAGAGTTATAGGCATGTCTGTTTGAGTGAGAGCAAAATCAGAGAAGATTACAGCCTCGAAGACCACACAGAGCCTTTTGAAAGGAGGAGGGCCATGCCCAGGGTCACCTAGTTAAGGGAGAAGGACAGAGAACACAATTTCTATCTCTGGTTCCCAATCTGAGACTCCTCCCTGCTCAGAACAAAGGTCAGTAGAAGCTATGGGAGGAGGATGGCCTTGAGTGGGCTAAGAAAGTGGCTTGGGACAAGAAAAGGCGGAGAAGTTTGGACTAAAGCAATGGATGTGATTAAAGCAGTAGATGTGGAAATAAGCAACTAATGCAGGGACAGGAAGGAGGTGTTTGAAGCACAGTATTTGAAAGGTGCCAGGAAAGAAAGATGGATGGGAAGAACTTCAGAGTAGGAGGGGAATTCAGAGTCAGCAAGTCCATCTCATTTCACTTTACAGATAAAAGAGATGTAGACTAAGAGTTTAATGGATTGGCCCATGGTCAGTGCAAAGTATTTGGCAGAGCCTAGTCTTGACCATGGTATCCTGGCTTCCTATTCTATCCCTTATATTAGGTTGCCTCCGCCTGACCCTGTCTGTCCTCATTTTGTCTCTTGGCCAGGCACTAAGTTCCTGGCTGAAGTCAGCTTGCAGAGGATGTGGAAGCATTGTGCTGGGCACTAAGAGGCAGCCAGGGACCAGGACAAGAGCTCAGGCTCTCAGTCTCTTACATTGTCTTAATGAATCCCTGCCACTCCCGGCCTCTAGTTCCTCATCTGTCATGAGGACGGTGGGCTAGGATAGGGCAGGAAGCAGATATCCACTTGCATGTCAAATTCAACCAGTTCCTGGTGGCTACTGAGGGTGCTGAGTGGCATCAGGACTCAAGAGGCCCAGAGAGTTCTGGCACGGATTGGTGATGAGTGCCATGGGACTGGGCATTTGCCCTCTTAGGCACTGGATGAATGATCTTAAGAACTTTTCTGGTTCCAAGATTTTACAACTCCACTGAAGTCCTGAACGTCCTCGGTGAGAATACCTGTGTCCCCCTGCCTTTCTGGTCTGCCTTTCTAAGGGCTAATTCCTCCCTCTCTGAACCCCAGTCCTGAGTCGGCCACTACATCTCGGAAATGCTTCCTCCTGGACCTCTCATGACTACCAGCCAATGCTTGGCTGCAGAGCACATTCCAAACACATGCTTTGTGACCCCATACAGGTGTGTGTTCTCTGCTCCAGGCCTGCTCCATCCATACTGGCTGATCTGATATGATGGTCATCTGATACCTTATGTGCCTCTCCATGGTGGTTCTAAAACAAGCTCTATTCTTTGACCATAGGTCAAAGGGCTATTAACGTGAAGCTTATGAATGGGGCCTTTGGCTTCCTCATCTTGCATTGAGTGGGTCCTCTTGCCTACAGGCTCCCTGGTTCCCTGGAGAGGCCATGTTTGGCATCCTGGAATCAAAACACAAGGGTCTGAATCCTGCCTTCGCCATAGCCCAGCTCTCTTGGTTTGGGACCAATTTACTTTTACAGTCTGGATTTCCTCTTCTGATGATGGCGATAACCTTCCTTACAGGTGTGTATGTGTGTGTGATGATTAAATGAGATAACCTGAAATCCTAGCACACAGCATAGACTCAGTCACATTTTTCTTCTTTCCTCCTGCCAACTCACGCCCCCTGACTGTGGGCTCTGTTTCGTACTCAGTAGGTATTCAGTAAACATTTATTGAGTGAATAAAGATAAATTCCTATTCAAATCTTCACACCCTATTAAAACTGCCTTTTTCTTCTATAGGAAAAGTGAGTTGGTAAATTCATTCCTTATACATTTATTGTATTAAGGAATTTAACACATTAATGAATAAATTATCTACTTTCCTAAGGATAGTGCACTTTTACATCTTAGCAAGGAACTCCAAGTTATGAATTCTGACAATTGAATTTTGCATATTGTGCCATGTTGGCGGTAAGGGCAATAGGGTTGTATGTGAGTAGGTGGACCTCCCCAGGTCCACAGGTGCCTGTTTACCTCTGAGATCCACTCTGTGTGGTAAAGGTGGCAGGCAGATGTTGGAGTAATTTATGAGGAATGAAGATCCTCTGGCTCCTAAAATCTCACTCCAGAATGCTTGTGTCTAGAAGGGTCATGAGCTGTGAGGCTGGCCCTGGGAGAGGCAAGGTGAGGCCTGCTCCCAGCCCATCCCAGCTGATTTCCTAGGAATGGCCAACTCGCTGCACACACCTGTTTGCCCTCAAAGAAACAGCCCCTAGGAATATTACTCAGTCATAAGAAGAAAACAAATCCTACCATTTGCAACAACATGGAAGGAGCTAGAGGCTATTATGCCCAGTGAAATAAGCCAGGCGGGAGAAAGATTAAGTTCTAAATGATTTCCCTCATTTGTGGAGTATAGCAATGAAGCAAAACTGAAGGAACAAAACAGCAGCAGACTCACAGAGTCTAAGAAGGGACTAGCAGTTACCAAAGAGGAGAGGTGGGGAGGTGGGGGAGAAGGGGATTGAAGAGCATTATGATTGGCACACATGGTGTGTGTGGGGTCACAGAGAAGAAGAGTAGTGACTCTGTGGCATCTGACTACGCTGATGGACAGTGACTGCAATAGGGTGTGGGGGGGACTTGATAATATGGGTGGCTGTAATAACCACAATATTTTTCATGTGAAGCCCTTACAAGAGTATATATCAATGATACCTTAAAAAAAAAAAGAAAGAAAGAAACGGCCCCTAGCCTCTACTGGACACTGACGCCTGGAGGGCGCCTCAAGGCCTGAGGCAGTGAGCTGGTCTCACTCAGAGCAGAGAGCGGGGTGCCTGCAAACGTGTCTGCAGGGACCACAGGAAACGTGATGCCCCAAGACCCGGCCACTTCTGCCTTCTCCGCTTACTTCCCAAAACGCCTGCAACTGTACTCAGGGAGCTACAGAGGGCTGGGCATCGTCTGCTGCTCTGAGTGTGCCAGGCAGCATTCATGCCAGCATCAGGAAGGCAGAAGGCAGGCCTTGGGGCAGCTCAGGAGTCTCCTCCCTCAGCATAACAGGACCCTAGAAGGTGCTCAGAGGCCAATGTGCTTTACCTTTGGGGGCTAGGAATTTTATCTGGCAAGGACTGTGGTGAGCAATTGCTCAGCAGCACACCCCCAGCGGCCCCCGGTGGATGTAGACTTTCTTATTTTCTGCCTATTCTGTGTATTCATTCACCCCCCCCCCACCCCTTGTACCAAAAAGATGACCTCTTCTTTTATACTGCAACCTGGACACCACGTGGGCTGGAGCTGAGGATGGGATTCTGTTAAAGACAAAGTTGGATTTAAAAAAACAAACCCTATATTGATTGATTGCTCATTCTGTATCAATTACCATGTGAAAAGTGATTTACAGATATGAACTCATTTAATCCTCTATCTAGACTAGTCTACCTACTTCCCAACAGAAACCTAATGTAAGTCACATATGTAATTTAAACATTTCTGGAAGCCACCTTAAAAAAGTAAAATGAAAGAGGTGAAACTAAAGTTAATGATACATTTTAGTTAACCCAGCATATCCCAAATATTCTCACTGTAATATGCAGTCAGTATAAACATGACTGATGAGATACTTTGCATTCTTTTCTTGTACTAAGTCTTTGAAATCTGGCATGTACTTTATACTCAAAGAGCATCTCAATTCAGACCAGCACATTTCAAGTGCTCAGTGGGCCATGTGGTGGTGGCTGCCCAGTGCCAAGCAACGCTCTCAGAAAAGTGCTATCAGCATCCCTATTTCCCCAAGGAAGACATGAGGGGCAGAAAGACTTTGTGATTTTCCTACAGTCACACAGCTAAAAAGTGATCAAGGTGGAATTTGTACCACAACTGGTACCTTTATTCCCTAATCATTCTTGTCCCTGTTGCTGAGACAAGCACATTCCAGTGTACCTGGCATTGCCCATGGATCAGTTTGCTTGAGAAGGCTGCTTTGGGTTAAAGGATT